GGCCCCGGGGGCCGGGAAAGGCCACAGACCTGTCCAGGCTGGCCCTGCCGCCGGGAGCCTGGCGCCATGGGAAGGGCTTCACGTCAGCCTGGACACTGCTTCAGCCCGGCAGTGGTACCGGACAGGGTGGATTCTGGGGGTCATGAGCGTTTACTGCTGGCCAGGTGCCTTGGGTCTCCACAGGGACCCCCTCTCCTGGCATGCATCCGCAGACAAGGCCAAGCCTCCAGTCACTTCTGACACTACTGGAAGTGGCCTGGGCCGGCCAGAAAGGTGCTCCCCGGCTCAGCACGGGAGTCCCTGGGGACCACTGTTGCAGACACCTGCCAGCCTGGGTCACTGAGTCACCGGAGCTCTGCACTTGATGAGCGCGGGACCCGAGACCCAAGACCACCTGCACTTGGTGGCGCCTGGTCTGAGGGGTTTTGTGCACATGTGCACAGGAGAGCCCAGGGCCTCACTGACAGTCCCCAGCTCCCCCCACGCTGCAGAGGCCCTGCAAGGCTGGCTGCTCCAAAGCGTGAAGCCAGACCACACGGCTTTAATGAGCGCCGGGCTGTGCTGCTGCTCTGGGCTGCAGATCATTACCGGCCAGCTGCAGGGCGAGAACACAGAACTGCAGCCGGGAGGTCACGGAGCTAACGATCTAATCCTGCCTTCCCAGCAGCCCCTCCCCGCCCCCAGCTCTCTGCAGCTCCCTCTGTTCCTGGAGCCAGGCCAGCACCACCCTCCAAGGTCAGAGCAGTGTGGCTGGCTCCCCCTTTGCGGGAAGAGGATGGGGTCGTTTAGTCGAAGCCATTAGGCCTAGCCCTGGTCTGGCCAGGCCCCAGGACCCCACGGCTGCCTCCACCTCCTCTCTGGTGACTGCAGGCTGTGGCCAGGATGCCGTCTGCCATTGGGGCACACACGGCCGAGCAGGCGGGCGCGCCCAGGACTCGGTCCCACTGCCGGAGGTCAGGGACACACAGCGGCACTGCCATCAGTACTCTCCTAGGCTGAAGGGCTTCCGGGGTCTGGGGCTGCCGCGGCCATCTGCTGGGCTGGAGATGAACCCGTCGTGTCTCAGGGCTCTGGGAGCCGGAGACAGCAGGGGGAGGCAGTTCCAGCCCAAGGGCAGAGGCAGGTACTGCAGAGGGTGAGGGCAGCCATTTTCCTCTGGCTAGGCGGGTGCTGCCTCCAGGCTGGGCCCACAGGCAGTGTGACCTGCAGGGCTGCGGGCCAGGGCTTCCACGAGAAAGGGGGTCGCAGAGGGTTGTCAAAGCTGCCCGGCCTCCCTTCCCTACTCTGGTCCCCAGGGCAGCTTCCAGAGCCACCTGGGGGCAGTCCAGCCCTGAGCCCTCCCACAGTAGGGCCCGGAGGGAACAGAGCCAAGACTGCTGTCCCGACTGACGCATCTCCAGCATGTGGTCCCGGAAAGTCGAGGAGCTGGAGCTCAGCAGAACCGGGCTGTGGCTGGCATCGCCGTGAGCAGGCTGAGGGCCCCGCCCATGTGGGCGGGCAGGTCTGGCCATGGCTGTGAAGGCTAACACGGGCTGTGCTGCCTGAAGGCACTGAGGGTGAGGGAGGGCGGGCCACCTGAGCACGGGTGCAGAGAGCCGGTGAAGGCTCGGAAAGGCACGGTACTGGGGGGCGCCACCCTGAGGGCACCACACGGAGCGGCTCCATAAGGCACCTGGACGCTGAGCGGGCAGAGACCGCTCCACTGCCCGAGGGCAGAGCAGGGCGGAAACTGGCCTCCGGGGCGGGGCCTTCTCCACTGGGCAACAGGGGAGGACCCTAGCTGGCTGGGGGGCCGGCGGGGAGGCGGTGGGTCTGGGAAGCACGTGGCGTATCTTTGGCTGCTGGGGGTGGGGGCTTTGGCCCCTTGACATTCTTTGCCCCCCATGGGGTAAGGCGGCAGGAAGGGGCGGCGAGGCGGGGGGCCAGGAGGGATGGCCTAGTCTGACCAGTCGTCCTCGTCGAACTCGGAGGAGTCGTCCTCGGAGTCGCTGTACTCGACAGCAATGCGCCTCGACAAGATGGTGGCCACGTCGTTGCCCACGACGTCTTTCTTCTCCTGCTCTCGCTGCTCCTCGACCCTGCGCAGCTGGAAGCCTGCGGGCAGAGAGGGTGACGCTGTGCATCCCCAGCTCGGGACCGCTGGGACTGAGGACTAAGGACAGGAAGGGACCTCCGGGACAGCCAAGAGGGCCGTGAGGAGCAGAGCAGAAGGGAAGACGGGGGCTTTCCGGAACTGGCTGGTCTGGGTGTGGGGGGCTGCCTGCCCCTCCCCGGCCCCGCAGGCGGGCAGCCTGTGTCCTGAGGCGTCACGGCCCTGATCTCCACACCATCTGCCCAGCCCCCCACTGTCACCCAGAGCAGGCGTTCCCTGGGGCTGACGAGCAGAGCAGGGCCCACCGCTGTGACCCCTGGGGTGCAGAAGGGGACAGCCGGGACAGGCATACCAGCCCAGGAAGGCCCACCGGGACAGAGGTTCTTGCTCCTGTCTGAGCAGACCTGGCTAGGGGCAAGGGCTGGGATGCAGCCTGTCCCTCCCTTCCACACTGTCCCCTTCACATTTAACTGCCCCTGCTGCACCACTGAGCAGGCCTCCAGGGGAGACCGGCCACCAGGGCGGTTAGTGCTGCCCGGGCTGGGGCAGACTCTTGGCAGACTGGGTCAGTCCCCAGTCTCATGGGGCCAGTGGGTTAACGCAAGGCCCACTGTCCCAGCAAGCCGCCCCACGAGCTGTCTCTTTTGTGCTTACTCTGCCACGTGAGGCCACCTGCTGAGTGACACTGCGGCACGCCCCTGGCCAGATGTGGGCACCTGACCTTGACTTCCAGCCCCCGAGCCTGAGCCTGGCACATCTCAGGTACTGGGAGTGCCGCGTGCCACCTTTCCCCGGGAAGGTGCCCATGAATACCCAGCACAGACCTGCAGGGCTTTGAGCGTCCCGGGGTGAGAGAGAAAGAAAGCTAAATCTATGCTTTTTAATTTCGCGATAGGGCACGCGTGCTGTCCCAGCAAGCGAGTGAGAATCGCCCCTGCCACCCCTCCTCCTCTCCTCTTCATGGGATTTTGGGCACACGTGCACGGGCACCCGGTACGATTAAGCCACCAGAGTGGGACACGAACTGGAAGCTAGCCACGGGGGACCCAGTGCCTCAACACCACCTGCTGGCCCTAAATCTCCCCATTTGTAAGGTGAAGCCCTTTTCCAAGCTTCTCCGAGGCCTGAAGTCCAGTCCCCTCTCCCTGATGAAAGTTGTTCCCAGAAGGGCACAGAGTCTGCCACCAGCCCCGCTGGCCATCCACCCCACCCCAGGAAGACGACCCCTGGCCCAGACCCCGCGTTTACCTTGACGAATGGCTGAAAGCAGGTCACTGCGGGCGTCGCTCACAGCAGGCAAGGAGGACTTCGGCTTGGTGGCATCAGGAGGTGGCACAGTGCATGATAAGCCAGAATTAAGCCTCAAGGAACCATATCACATCTGATTTGGTACACAGTACAAAGCTCTGTATCCCTGAGGACAAAACAGTGCGGTGGTGGGGGCGGGATGGCCACTGGGGGCAGAGGTGGAGGAGCTGGAGGTGGAGCAAATCCCGGTTTGGGGGCTGCTGGGATGCCCAGGGGAGGAGCTGGGGGTGGGTGGCCAGGGCTGACCACACTGGCCCTCTTGGGTCCAGCCATGCCAGGTCCTCTGTGGCTGTCTGCCGGGTAGCTGAAGGTCACAGAGAGAGACGCCGTCACTCAGGACAGACACCCCCACTTGGGACCAGGAGCGAGCTCGTCTGCTGACTGCCACTCCCAGGCCCGGATGGGAAGGAAGGGGACTGCCATGAGTCGGACAGGCATGGGTGGGGCCCCCATGGAGCAGGAGACACCCCGAGAGGAGCAGGCCCGCTTCCTGTGTCAGGCCAGGGCTGGCTGAGGAACCCCAGAGCCAGGGCTGCGATACACGTGGGAGCTACTGGGGTGAGATCCCACCGCCCAGCACCAGCCGACTCCCGGGCTAGCGGTCGCCAGGGGGTGAGAGTGGGCCGGCCCAGGCAAAGGCACCTCTCTGCATGCAGGAACCTGTAGGGTCTGTGGACCTGGGCAGCGGGCGTGTGCCCACCCAGTCAAGTGAGCCAGAGAGCAGCCAGCAACCCTGCTGCTCCAGTAAAGGCAGGAGGGAGGCTAGGACCCAGGCTCTGGGATCTGACTGGCCAGTCACACCTCCTGGCCGTGCGAGGTTAGGTACGTGCGCTGACCTCCCTGTCCTCGGATTACTGATCTGCGACACAGGGACAGTACAGGACTGACCCCGGGAGGACTCCTGTGGGGAGCAGGTGGCGCGCACAGCACGAGGCCCCACGCTGGCACTCACCCACTCCGAGGGAGACCTAAGCAGCCCTGCCTGCCTCAGCTCTGTGGTCCTGGGTGCTGGGCCCGGTGCCGCGGCATGCACCCTCACCTGAACTCTGCCGGCGGGGGAGCCAGGCTGTCCTCCGAGAAGGAAGACGGCGAGGACGCGGAGTCCGGCTGCGGCGGGGGAGGGCAGCTGCTCGCATCCATGCTCTCGACAGAGCCGACGCTGCCGTTCTGGTATGCCAGGGTGTGGGGGTGCCTGCGTGCCCAAGGCCAGAGACTGTCACGCGACCCCAAGTGGCACCCTTTTCCAGACACGCACGAATGGTAAACTAAGTGTGTTCCCCACAGGTTTCCCGTTACACTGAAACTTCACATTTACACACCTCCCAGCATGTCTGCTGGGCCACCTGTGTAACTCGGCCCCGGCCCCCACAGGCTGCCCTTCTCTCCAAATGGCAGGCGCAGCCATGCCCGAACCCCGGTCCATCTGGCTGTGAATGGCGAAGCCAAGCCCTACAGGCTGGAGAGCTCAAACCGGTGAGAAGGCAGCAGCCTGACTCCAGGGCCGGCAGGCCTAGAGTGCTCACAGAGACGAGCTGGTGCCGCGGGCAGGTCGCCGTGTGGCATAAGGGCGGCCTTGCTGCCAGTCTTTCACCCAATGCCCCCAGGGTGCTAGGGCTCAGGGGTCTGCTCTGGTGAACTGCAAAACTTCCATGAGCCAAAGACAGCTAGCTAGCAGGGGGCCAGCAGGTGGCGTGGTGGTCGGAGTACCGGACTCCCACATGACCAACTCTGGTTTGAGTCCTGGGCCTGGCGGCTTGCTTCTCACTGTCTCTCTCCCAGAAGAAAAAGAATAAAAAATAAATACTAAAATTAAATAATTCCTTTGAAAAAAAAAAAAAAAGGACAGCTAGCAAAGTCTGGCCTCGCATGTTTCCACAGCTGCTGGGCTCTGTGGAGGTAAGCTCCAAGGGAACCGAGCAGCAGGGACAGGCCAAGCCAGACACCCCCCGATGTGGACCCTCAGGCTGGGGCCAGGCCAGTCCCCTTCCCAACAGGTGAGCTGCAGCCCAGCTCCTGGGTCCTGGACAGAGGCAACGGGAGGCCCACTTCTAGCCTCACCGTCCCACTGCACAGGACACACATTCTCGATATGCGAGCTTCCGACTTGAGTCACTGAATCGACCACAGGGACCTGTCTGATGGGGGCTGGGCCACGGACAAAATGGTACTTTGTACTGGGAAGGGACGGCGATGAAGGCACCTCCCGGGCCAATATCCCCGAAGAGAGAAAGGTTCACTTTTCCTCTCGCCATCTTCACCACTCTTTAAAACAAATCTCTTGGGGCCGGCAGGTGGCAGGGTGGTTAAGGGCACTGGACTCCCACCTGGCTGAATGCGGTTCAAGTCTTGGACCTGGAGGCTTGGTTTCTCCCTTTCCCTCTCTCTCTGTCTGG